AGTTAGTAATTAAGTATTCCTTCTGTAATCATTAAATGAATTATGTTTTTACAAATGTTGAACTGTGTTTGCTGACTCAAAATTATTTCTTGTTATCTAATTTACTTTTAATCTCATATTTCGTAAACACGATTAACCTCATTTCTCAATAAGAATTTTCCGAATATTTTTCATATGTCAAATCATTTCTACAATTAGAAGGGGGTTTTGTGGAGCATAGGTCGTCAACCAGCATTCTCCAACCCAATCCGTCCTGAGCATTCCTTTCTAGTTCTTTCAAATTCATGTTCATTCTTATCATTTCTGTCTCCATTTCTCAACGTAATATGTTCTTTAGTCTTCCTCATCTCCTTTGACCCTGAGTATTACAAGTGAGGGCTTGTTTTGTGACTCAATAGGGTGATTTCCTCAATGTGTGTCCTACCCAATTCCAGCACCTCTTCCTCCTCTGGCATCTGGTTTGTTCTCTCACATAATAGGTTAATGCTGATAGTGTCTGGTCAACGGATCCGAAATATTATGTGTAGACAACTGTCAATAAACACTTTTATCCTCTGGATGATTACTTTCGTAGTTCTCCAGATTTCCACCCTATACAGTAGAACTGTCTTGACATTTGTATTGAAAATCCTGACCTCGTTGTTGGCTGCCAATTCTTTTGAGTTCCAGACGTTATTCAATTGTAGATATACTTCTCTTGTTTTGCCAATCCGCGCCTTCACATCTGCACCAGACCCATCGTGTTCATCAATGATGCTGCCCAGTTATGTGACGGTTTTTACATCTTCCAAATCTTCCTGACGCGTGATTCTTCGTTTAAATCTTAAAAAGACCTAATTGCTACTAATAATCTACCATTGTTATTGTTGTTTGTTCTTATTCTTATCTGATAGAAATACATTTAAGTTTATTACATTATTGTTATTTTGTTTCTTATCATTTATACCATAAACTTCTGTTCAGATTTTCTTATTATTACAATATTTTAGTAAATAAACAAAAAACAACAACAAAAATAAACTACCCGCCAAGTTTAACTTCACTATGAAGAGAACTTATATAATATCAGAAGGGGAATTTTTGTGGATATGCTCACTAGTGACTGGCTTCAAGAGGTGTTTCCTGGAGTTCTAGTGATAAGCAGTGACAAGTGGAGTTCAACCTTGTCTGTTGTGAGATAGTAACTCATTGATAACAATGATGGATGTGTCGTTCAATGTCATAAATTAATTGAAGTTAGAGATTAACACTGTTGGATGACAACCGGTTCAGTGATATAGAGGTTAAGTGTTCGCGCACAAGATCGATTGGTCCTGTGTTCGAATCTCACGAGATGGGATCGTAGATGTGCACTGCCGAGGAGTTCCACAATCATCCAGTGCTTCCATATTTTCTTTGGTGGTTTAGTTTCAAATGATATATGATTTCAAGTATTAGAATAGATTTATTTTTTGATAAATTGTAAGAAAAACAAAATGTAACATAGTTATTTATTCATTTATTATTAACGGCTTTATTCAATATTATATTTTAGGTACAATATAGAATTCTAAGCACAGGGTATTTCAAAAAGTTTCTTACACAAAAAAAACATAAAGAAAGACAAAAATAGGAAAAAAGGTTCTAAAAAAACCCGAAAAACTGTACAACTTTCTAAATTAGAAACATGTTTAAGAATACAGGTTATTGACTAGGTTAACTCTAACAACCTGTTCGTCACAAAGTATATTTGCTAGGTAAGGTATTATAGAACTTTTATACTTTTGCTTGCGTGCATGGATTTTAATGTAATTACGTCTCGTTCTACCAGAAGAAGATATACAAGGAGAAAGATATGAGTGGATGGGGATAGTTAGAATCTGATAAAATAACACCTGCCAGGAGTTTGCATGATTTTAGATGTCTATCCACAACCATATTAATTATGATCTCGAAAGATTCACCATACATCTTGCTAACTGCCTTCAGCACTCTCCGCAATACAAAAAAGTATTTTCTCAAAAGCCCAGGAAAGAATAATGGAGAATAGTAAAGAATAATAGGTAATATGCATAAGTTGACAAATTGTAAGAGTAAACGACGAGTAATCCCAAGAGCATGTAATCTCTTTGTGAAGTAGGTCAGACGGAAAACCTTCTTTGATAACAATAAAACGTGAGAAGACCAAAAGAGATAAGAAGAAAAGGTAACACCAAGATAATTATTACTCTTATTAGTATTATTATTAATACTATGTTAGTGTCGTTCTTTTTTATTTCTCTTAAAAACGTGAAAAGAAATCTTTATAGAAAAATTTATTTTTGTTAAAATAAACCCAACTTTTAGCTCATTAATCTTTTTCTTATATTTTCTTACAAGCAATAAGCCCATTTGATACATTTCAATAGTGTAATAATAATAAGATGAATATTATTAGGATTATGTAATGATATATATATATTAGCTCAATCTATACCAAACAATCTGATCATATATAATGTGCTTGTTAAGATATTTTTATATGTACATTAAATGGTCAACTAGACTGGAAATGGAAATACTTCTATAATAATAGAAAGAATCTAGGATTAGATTAGCAAGGAAAATTTTGGATTGACTTCAAATAATCACGATGAAATAGTTACAGAAATGAAAAAGAGAAAATAAAATAAGGAAGAGTCGTTATTCAATATACAGTAATGTAGAAACTATATATCTATATATATAATATGGGAGTGGATAGAATACACATTGAGGAAAGCATACATCTGTGTCACAAGGCAAGCCTTCACTTGGAATTCTCAAGGCTCAGGACAAAGTGAGTTGAAGAATGCTGATCGGCGGCCTATACTCTATTGGCAATAACAGACGTAAGTAAGTAATTATATATAATGTCAAATGAAGTGCCATACAAATCTATTTAAACTAAAATTTCATTTTATTGTGTTAATGTTATTTGTTTAAATGTCGTTCATTTCGGCGCAAAAAGTCTGTCATCATCATCATCATCATCATCATCAGTTGTTCAATATCAATTAATGTTCATTGTTTTTACTCAATATCATTCTGTGTATTTGAATATTCGTCCAGATTAGAACGAATAGTTCGACAGAAATTGGGCTTCGAATACAGAAAAGACATCATATATGCAAATTATATTTGAAATAATCTCAGCGATTGATATTTTTAAAAAATAATTCCAACGTTTCGTCCAACAAACTTGTCTGAACTACTTCAGGGTAATAAACAAATTGTGTGTGTGTATGTGTGTGTATAAATTCATTCCGTCATTTGTTTCGACATCGTGAACTTCCCACATGATTCGCATTTAATTGACCCATGTTATTCGATTTACTAAAGTTAACATGTGATTATGATTGGATTAAGCACAGTATAGATTTGATCTGATTCGTTTGTTAAAACGCTATAGATATATGTTTCTCTGATGGTTTTGATTATTCTACCCTGAAGAAGTCCAAACAAGTTTGTTGGACGAAACATGGAAATTATTTTAAATTTCAATCGCTAAGATTATTTCAAAATATAATTTTTATTATGATCAGTTATGTTATGTTCTATAGTTTGTTAATTACTACATTAACTTCCTCTTCATTGTGATTATTAAGTAATTATTATTCCCTATGATGGTTGAATTATGTATTTTGAAATTAATCATTATTCAGAAATGACTTTATAAAAAGAAATAATTGCACAAAAACTAGGATACCGGCCCAGTGGTCTAATGGTTAAGTGCTCGGGTCCAAATCCCGCGGGGTGCGGGATCGTTGATGCGCACTGCTGGGGAACGAAACGGTCGTCCAGTGCTTCCAGCTTTTCAATGGTGATCTAGCTTCAACTGACTCAAGATTTCAATCTGTGAAAATTTCTAAAATCTCCACAAACCCCTTCTGATAATTAATTAGTAGTTAGTGAATAACTATTACATAACAAGTTTGTTTTATGAAACGTTTATAAACTCATTTCATAAAGCACTGAAATGATTTATAAACGGATAAATGTCTGAATTGAGCTAATATTTAGACCATCTTATATATATGAATATTCGTCAAGATTAGAACGAATAGTTTGACAAAAATTGAGCACCAAGTATAAAGAAGGCACTATATGTGAAAATTATATTTTTCAGAGTAAGAAGAAGTCCAGACAAGTTTACTGGACGAAAGGTCGGAATTACTTAAGTTCCAATAGCTGAGACTATTTCAAATATAATTTTCACATATAATGTCATCTTATATATAAATCACAACAGATTGGTTAAATAACTACTGATAACCTGGAAGCATTGGACAGCTCGTTTGCCCTAATAAGGCTTGACTCAGCAGTTTGCTTTTAAGATCATACTAAGGTTCGATCCCTGTTAAACTATGAAAATCAATAATCTATGCACCGTCTCATAACAAATATATTTTCAATTCCAATTAAAATCTCATAAAATATAAATATCTCTAAGGGAAAGTCATTTTAGAAAGTTAGTTTAGATATATTTCTACTACATTTAAAACACAATAAAGTTTCATTTCGACTTGACAAGTATTCAGTTTAATAATTGAAGCTAGACCATCATGGAAAACTTGGGATCACCAGTCGACCGTTTTGTCCTATTGTGGGACTTCTCAGCATTAAACATCCACAATCCCATACCTCGTGAGATTCCAACCCAGAACCTATCAGTCTTGTGCACGAACTCTTAACCTCTATATCATTGGGCCGGTTGACATCCAGCAGCGTTAATATCTAACTTCAACTAATCCACGAAGTTTCGCCACCGTCACCGATAACAATGATGAGATTATGAGTTCAAATCTCGCGAGGCGGTATCGTGGATGAGCAATGCTATGAAGTTCCACAATTCAACGAAACGGCCGTCCAATGCTTCCAGGTTTTCAATGATGAACTAGCTTCAAGTGACTCATGAATTCAACTATTAAAATTTTATTTATTTTAAATGTTTAAATAATGAATTTTACATAGTACATATCAATCACATATACTAAACTCACTTTTACGTTAGAGGATCATTACTTTTAGTAAACAACCATTAAACATTCTATGAATAACATTTTATGGGTATCCAAGACACAGATCTTGTTTATTATTGTTATTATTATTATTAATAAAGAATGTATTATCCGGTACTTTCATTGAAATTCAGTAAAATATAAACATCGAAAATAAAAAAATAATGAAATAGACCAATAGGTTTCTTAATTCAATCTCTTATTTGATTGGATAAAAATTTGACCAATCACATAAATACTTCGATATATATCACGCAAACTTAATCAGCTGATTGTGAAGATGAAACATTGGAATTACTAAAAACAAAAGAGTAATCAGACGATATTTCAATAACTTTAAAAACTGAATACATAGAAACTTATGAAGCAACACATCGATGTACCATGAATTCTGTAGAAAAAAAAAGGTTAAGCACCACTTTTTTTACCCTACTATAACTTCTTTCATTGAATATAGACAGAGAATTCAGTAAATTTTCTAGATAAAATAATGGTATATATATTCTATTTTCTAGGTTCTGAAACACTTTTAACGAAAAACAGTGATTTGGAAATACATTACTACGGCTGTCGAGAATAATAATAAAACGTACGCTACATATCGGTTTTCATTACATTTCATATGTATTGAACTATAGTAGACTTTGAAATGAATACTTCATCTAATTATTTTAAAAGCTTTATGGTTATGTTGAAACAAAGAGTTCAGTAAAAGAAGCGTTATTTCTAACCATTTCACCTTCTAGAAATATAAAATTACATTTATTTGAATTAACTTCAGTGTTAACAATTGTTAGTTTACATAACATCAAGTAGACGATCTCACCAGGCTCTTACTGAATACATATTGTTAGTAAAATCTTGCCGTGGTATCAATATGTGTAGTGAAGGAGAACACAAGTGAGAACGACTGAATTATATTTAGCACAAAATTACAGAGTTACTTGATAAAATAGAAAAACCATACTATAATACTTAATTTGCAAGATGTTCAATAATTGTCTCGAACGTTATTGTTCTTGCATTTCCATACTAATTGCTTTCTATCCCCTCTCTTCCTTTCTTGATCTTCCTCATCTTCTGCTACCAGACATTACATTCCTGACTCGTGTCATATACTACTTATATCAATATAAGTAGCACGCATCACACATGCAGTGATATTATCTCCAACTTTTTAAAAATTTGATTAGTTTGAATAAAGTCCAATGTTGTACCTTACTTAGGTTATAAATACTAGCAAATCAGTGGAACTGTTAAAAGTAATTCATTTTGAAATCAAATATATGGTTGACATTTAATCTTTCGATATGAATCTCTTTCAGTGAAATCACTAATTGGGCTTGATCATTTGAGTGTGCATTAAACAGTAAAATAAGTCTTCAGTTTTTAGCCTATAAACTTGGTCAGTCTGTGTTTTGTGTGCTTGAAACTTAAAGATATATTGGTATCCTCCAGTCAAACTATATAATTTCTGCTGTTGCATTAAACCCAGTTAAACTACCTTGTTACTGATGACAATTAATACCTAAATTAGTTACAATCAGTCTTCTGATATCTGTCAACGTTTTCCTTACTTAAATTTACCATGTTCGCTGAAGTAAAACTAAGGTTGAAAAAAACTAGGAGCTCCCAAAGCAAGGCGTGACTTTAGTACATGTAGTTATCGACTGAGATGTATTAATAAATTAAGGCTATTTTCTTGAAGTTCGTGCTATAAGTGAGGTCACTGGTTGAAAGCACTGGGTGATATCCGTTAGGATCTGTCGTAAAGATTCATCCATTCTTAGTTTTCTTAGAATTTTGAGCCTCAATATTATTTAATAATTTTATAATGCTTCAGTCTGTCTCTTTTTTTTTCAAAAAATATTGTCGAGGGTTTAACCTTTTTCACAGTCTCCAACACTACTATTATTTTGATTACTGTTCGATTCATCTGAGTAATTTCATTACATTAAATTTTTATCTAGTGGTAACTTAGACTGATATAAATTCATTCTCAGCAGTATGCTGACTGGATGGCAGAATGATTAAAGTTTTACGGCATTTCTTCATTGTTGTGTAATTAAAGATTTAACAAACAGACTAAAAGCATTTTAAATTACTTCTCAATTTGACAATTTGTTAGCCACTGTGAATGAGGAACATAATTTTTAGCTTAGAATGATACACGTGAATGTGTTTATTTCTGTGATTTGAATAAGTTAATTGTTGGTTCAGTCCATTTTCGTTTAAAGTAAGTGCCGGTAGTCTTATTTTCAGAACACCAACGGTAATATCATAATTTGTTCACCCATATCGAGGATTACAACATCACTAAATAAGAAACTATAGAATTTTATCATGTTAGTGTTATGCTCCGACAATAATAATGAATGGTAACTTTTGGGATCTATTGATGGACCAATACTAAATGTATATTTCTATTGTATAATTACTAAGTGACTAAACTATTCATATTCATATTCCTCTTATTATAAGCTTTATTTTGACCCATAAACTAATATTATACGTTTTATCATTCTTAAGTTATGCACAGTCTATTAATTACTACCTGCCTCATTCACAGCCACATCTGGCTAATTCTTGTACAAATGTTGGTTCATATTTTATTGGCACGTCGTGGTCTGTTTGATTGGTATATAAACTCAGTATGTTTGAAATATATGATTCATATCTCAGAGGCTGAGATTGGTGTTCTGGACTTAACTGGCTGGACTAAGCAGGAAGCAGGAATTAAAGTAATTTTAATAGTTGAATTCATGAGACAATCCAAGCTAGACCACCATTAAAAACCCGGAATGTTGAGGAGTCCCATATTAGGATGAAATGTACGTTCAATGCTCCCAGATTTTCAATGGTGGTCTAGATTAGATTGACTGATCAATTCAAAAAATTCATATCACTTTAAGAACGCTTGAAAATTAGAGCGCATCAGCAAACTAATTCATCTAAGTCCAGATTACTATACAACTATACACTCAAGATTCTACCCAAAATCTAATCCATGTAGATACCATACCTATATAACATAGGTAACTCAATAATTTAATATACATTCTTTATAATATTTCATTATAAGTATGAATAAGAATCATTATTATAGGATCCATTTCCTTGTAACTATTTATATCAGTTCAAACGTTTATGAAAATGTAATTAATTAAATTATGATATATTAAGTGATTTTTCATAGAAGAAATTTTAAAAAAGACAAATGGGAACTAAGACCAAGGCAATGAGGCAATACACACAATATCCTCATATGTCAATAAGAGACTGATCAATCGCAGTCCTAAACATCAATGGAAAGATTCAAGTAAAACTAATACCAAGTGAATTTAAAGACAATGATTGTTCTACTAAAAATCTATGATAATGAGTCATCTTCGTTAAAAGAAAAATGATAAAAAAATAAATAAGTTTCGATGGTCAAGATCATGAGTCAATTGAAGCTAGATCACCATGGAAAACCTGGAAGCAGTGGATGGCCGTTTCGTCCTGTTGTGGAACTCCTCAGTAGTGCGTATCCACGGCCGTTCAGTGCTTCCAGGTTTTCCATGGTGATCTAGCTTCAACTGACTCATGATCTTAACCATTGAATTTACTATAATATCCACAAAACCCATCTGATAAATAAATAAGTATTCACAATTACAAATACATTCATGAACATAATCAAAAAATTAAAAAATAATGAAAGACAAAGAATTACATAAACAGAAGTATTTAATCAAAGATGGATAGTAGCTAGTAGTGGAATCCAGGATATGCGTTTTGTCTTATTTGGGACTTGTCAGCTGGGTGTACCTGCATCTCAGAGTTCGCGCCCACTCTGGGACTCGAACCCAGTAATGTTCGCTCCAAAAGCCACTGCGTTATTCACTTATCTACTGAGTTCTGATAGCCACTTGCTTGTGCAATGAGGTGAAGTTTAAATTCACTTGGTGTTGTTTTAATTGTACCTTTCCATGGTTATTTAGGACTGCAATTGTTAAGTCTCATATTGACATATGTGCATCCTATGCGGATCGCCTCAACATAACCTTAAGTCACAAGCTTTTTAAGCAAAGATGTATAGTGGCTAGCAATGAAATGCAGGAAGCGCGTTTCATTCTATTTGGGACTTGTCAACTGGATGTACTTACATCCCAGATATGATGTTCACAGAAATACTCATTAAAAAGGTAAGTTATCTTGTTTATTTATTATCATATTAACAAATGTACTGTATTCAAAAAAAAACAACAAAGAAATAGAATGTTAATCACAATTACACAAATGAGCAATGGTCATTATTTCAATCAACTAGTACATATCATTATCATTAACATATATACGTATATAAGAACTGTGGTCTGTGCTATTTATATTGACATAAGTAGTATATGATGTTAGTCGTGAACAGAAGGTCTGGCAGCAGAGAGACAAGAGGATCGAACATTAAAGAATGGAAACAAAATGCGATTTGTATAAAAATGCAATAACAATGTATTCTGGGTCATTTTGAGACAATTGGTGGATATTTTGCAAATTAAGCATTTACATTATGATTGTTAGATTTTATTAACAAGTCCTGTAATTTTGTGTTAAATACATTCGATTGTCTCCACTGGTGTTCTTGTTCAATACGAAACTGGTTAGTATAAATAACTTTAATTATTTAATAGTAATAATGAGACATCTCTTTACCCAGAATGACCAATGATAATGCAAGAAGATTGTATAATATCATAGATCAACTGAAGTTACACATTAAAACCATTAGATGACAACTCAGCAGTTTAAAGATTAAAAACTCTTTATGAGATCTGAAAGTTCTGGGTCCAACCTCCACTGATATCATGAAAATACAGTGATAGGGTGTGTCATACCACTATGAAGTAATCATTCAGTACTTTTTGGTTTTCAATAATGAACATTAGATTTGAATCCTAGAATAATGATCAACTATGAGATGTAGATATATCTAGCTGACAAGTACTAAATATAACAAAACATGAGTCCTATATTCCACTGCTAGCCACATTCCATCTATTCTATGTATAATTGACAACAACGTATTGATTTATTTTATTTTATTTTAACACAAATCTCATTTGATTTGTGTGAGGGCTGTGATACTGCCTGGGTGCCCTAACAGAAACAGGTAGTTTTCTTAGGGGGCCACTCCCCGAGCCTTTGACCTGAAGGTCTGATCCACAAGGCAGTGGAGCATCGTAAGGAGATGCAGTCCCATGGAAGCCGGTGACCAACGATTGGTTCATACACCATTTGTTCCCTCAGGATACTGGAGCCCATGTGCACCATTGGTTTGGAATCCGGTTAAAGCACCGGATATTCGCTTTTCGTCCTCTTATTTACGTAAACAACACCCCCGCCACGAGAAGGCAGTGAGTAGGACTTCCTTGGCAGAGGCTATACACGCCTGGCCATGTGAGAGCATTTCGAGAGGGAGAGCGGACTCTCCCCACTCTCGGCCATACCAGGGCATTTGAGGGTGACGTATTGTATTGAAGACTAAACCATAAATACAAAAAATAAGTGATTCATTCAAATTATAAAAACTACATTATTCACACCCCTATTTACATTCATACATACATCCTCTTTAAAAAAATACATATCCAACATAGAAACAAACAACTTGAATGACATAATATTTAACACAACTACAATTATTTGTTTGTTTGTAATTAACATTTACATTAATCCATTCTTTATATACCAATTAAGTCTTTATGAATTTAAAGAAAATATTGTTTATTTTCTGAAGAAACAACAATCACCACGTTACAAAATCAAAAGCAATTCTATTCATTTCTATTCATTGAATTAAGGTTCAGGGTTACAGTTCCAGTAACAAATTAGTAACTATGTCCAATAGAAAGTGATTAACACTATTCTTATAATGAATATTTAAATCATATTTACATTATTACATATGAGACTTATGAACTAATTATGAAATATACCGGGTTCACCCTGTAATCTGTAACACATCCATTTCATAATTGCCACCTCATTACATAATAACAATAATAATAGTCATAAACTGTAATCCTATAAATTATAAACAATAATAGAAGCGTAATTAAAAGAAACAAACATAATAAAAAAACACAGAAATGATTAAACACTTGTAAATCATCAACTTTATGATAGTTGTGCTTCTTTCTTTCTTTCCTTTTTTAATTTTTTCTTATTTTCCGAAGTCAAAATACTGAACAATTTCGTAAACAGTAATGGAACAATATAAGGAAGATATTTCAATTAATGTCTAAAGACTTTGTAATGCCAATGAAGTGTCATCTGGCAAGTAGGTTACTGAATATCGGACAGATCATTGATCCTTGTCAAAGTCAAAGACAACCAATGTGCATCAGTTAATCGTACGGCATGAACTGGCTCATACGGTAGTGGTCACATTTTTGCTTGTACCTACTTTATATAATTCACAACTGAAGAACATCTGGAACTCAAAGCAACTTTCAACCAACACCAAGGTCAGGATTTTCAATACAAATGTCAAGACAGTTCTACTGTATGGGGCAGAAACCTGGAGAACTACGAAAGCCATCATCCAGAAGATACAGGTGTTTATTAACAGTTGTCTACGCAAAATACTTCGCATTCGTCGGCCAGACACTATTAGCAACAACCTACTGTGGGAAAGAACAAACCGGATCCCAGCAGAGGAAGAAGCGCTAGAAGTGGATAGGAAACACATTGAGGAAAGCACTCAACTGCGTCACAAGACAAGCCGTCACATGGAATCCTGAAGGCCAAAGAACACATTACGCCGGTAAATGGAGATAGACATGAGAAAAATGAACAAGAATTGGATGGAACTAGAAAAGAAGGCCCAGGACAGAGTGGGTTGGAGAATGCTGGTCGGCGGCCTATGCTCCATTAGGAGTAACAGGCGAAAGTAAGTAAGTAAGTACTTTATATTATATATTACTGTAATAATGTCCTGTGTTGTATAGTTTTCAAAGCATGCATAGTACCTTGATACGACGAAGGGGTGATCTAAGTTAGCTGTTAATCACATCATTTCCATATAACTGGAGTAGGCCCTCAATAATTCGACAGAGATCATCAATGCTGATGATCTACAACTTTACCCACAGTTATTCATTGTTTTTAGAGTCATTATAATATGTGTAGACCACAAGTATTCTTTGACTAATAATAATATTTATCAAGAGTTCATACGGTTTGGTAGAGCGATGAATTGATTAGCTCTGAAGGGACGCTTAGGGTTTCTAGAAGAATAGGTTAAACAATTGGTAACCGTGTAAATTTACGCAAACTTCAGTGGTTTATCCACTACTTACTATGCGGCTCAATACTGATTGGATTGGAAATACTGAGTGGTTGATCTAATAAATGATAACAGTTCATAAAGTCACAAAATAAAAATTTGAACCTTTAGTAATAAAATATGCAGAAGATTATGCATATTTACAACAACATGTCTAAACATCATAACTTAATTATAAGCCGAACTTATTTGATTATAGAAGATAATATAGACCAGCCTAAAACTCCTGAGCAATGTGCAACCACAATCCTATCATGCATCAAGTTCTAGTTCTTGAAGCCTCACGTCAAGCGCATTTACTTTAAATTAATCAAGCGTATTTACTTTACATTATTCAATTTACAACCAATGGACATTTCCATACTAGAAGATCAATATCCACTGCTCCATGATTTTCAATATACTGTGCAGCAGTTCATTATGTTCAAGTTTATGACTGCGAAACATGGTCATTAAGGGTAGAGAATACTCGGAAGTTAATAGTAGTTGATTAAAGATATATTAGAAATATTGACAACATCTGCTGGGATCACCAGGTAAGTAATAGTGAGGTTGGACGCAGGGTATTGGGGAAATTTTTAAAGTTACATCAGAAATGTAGGTAGCTAAAAAGCCCCAAACTTACGCAAGCAACCAGCAAGAATCGACTTTACGCCTTCATGGAGTTGCTTTCGTTGAGATGGGTGGTTTAATCATAGAACTCTCATTGTCTCTCAAGATGTCCTCTGTACCGTAAACTTTAGACAAAAGTAAGTTATTTAAATTCATCCAGTTCAGAAAATGTAAGTCCCTCAAAATCATCAACCTGAGCTCCATATCTTCTCTATCATCTCAAAGTGATTACGTATGCTTATTGTCATTCACAAAGTACCTCAAGAACCTCAACAAAAGTTCCAAATATAACCCATAAAAGTTTACTCTAACACAAATGAATGCTTGATGTCTTAAAATCTTCAGATTGTCTTTCTAAATGAAACAGCTTAGAACCTGATAAAATATCTGATATAACCAAGTGGAATAGCACGGTAGTAAAGACGGATTGTACTGATAATACATGAATTGACAACAAATGAGACTGTTACCCTTTTTCCCGGTACTTTATTCGTCAATAAGTCATATTAATATACAAAGATAATGGATGGCCAGTAACTATGAAAAAATTCTATTTAGCAAAAACGTAACATTTTATCAGTATTTAGCAACCTAAAACTACAATTGTAAAGGTGATCTGCACTGGTTGGCTCAATGGCAGAATATCTTGACCCATTATTCAGATGAAATAACAAGTAATACCAAAATCGAGAGAGAAATTTATAACAAATAGACTAAAGGTGAATTGTTGGTTTCTAATTCTTGACAGTATCGCATTTGTGTTAGGTTGATTTACGCGCATACATAGAAAACAGGTAACTTCTCGCAGGCTGATATTATCACATTGTTTTATTCACTTAGATTAACTACCTTCAAAATTTGCCCCCAAATGCTCTGGTACGACCAAAAGTGGGGAGAGTCAGCTCTCCCTCTCCGAATGCTCTCACATGACAACGCGTACATAGCAAGGAAATTCCTACCCACTACATTCTCGCCACACAGGTTTTGTTTAAGAAATGGAGAAGACAAAAATTGAATGTCCGGTGATCTAACAGGGTTGGTGGACATGAAGGATCCACAGAGGGGAGTTGGGAAACTCTCGTTCCGAATCAATAGTTCACATAGGCTTCAAAATCCTGAAGGAACAAATGGCGTATGAACCTATTGTTGGTCACCGGCTAACATGGGACTACATCTCCTGACGATGCTCTACTGCCTTGTGGATCAGACCTTTAGATCGAAGGCTCCGAATGTGGCCCCCTAAGAAAACCACCTGATTCAGTTTGGGCACTCGGGTAGTATCACAGCCCAAACACAAATCAAGTGACTTGTGTGGCGCAAATGTATTCGGTTCCCCTTTGTACCAATATTTATGTGTTCAAATAAATAAATAAGTTACGTTAGTATAGATTAACCAGGTAGGTAGAAACTATGTGCATCTACTTAGACTAAGATCAAGTGCAGAGACCAATAAGTTTCAAAGCACTTCAGATGAAAGATTTGTAGAAACTAATCAATTAGAAAATAGTTCACAATACAATTTGATTTTATCTGGAAAATAATTAGAAACAAGGAACTCCTTGATATATAATTGAACTTTATGCACAGAATAAAATAGGTATCATTGATAAAAATGACTAAACTACTACTTAGTAGAATTAGATTAGCACTAAGAGAAACAACTAAGGACAATTACGATACTGATTACTACTAATTGATTAAACACTTGCAAATACCACAATTCATTGATCACCACCCAGTGATCAATGTCATGCTTGTCTAGTCCTTATTAGTGCAGATCGAATGCTATCGATCATGTTGCAATGTGGCCACCAGTCTAGGTGACTCGACACTGCGGGCACTATGTATTGAGATTTAGATGGTGGTCCAAGATCCAGGGTTTCCTGTTGACCACCTCCAACCACCATCTAAAACTTGCAAATACCATTACACCTATATACCAACCTACCTACCTATCAGGCTATTATTGACATAACGATTAGAAAACAAAACATGATCATATAATTACCAATTAAATAAATTACATGATAATAATCAGAAAAGAAATGAAGTTAAAAAGGGCGCAATTGAGAGAGAGGGAGAGAGAGATAAAAACAATGGTAAGAAATGCAACACACACACACACACAATGTATACGGTCGAAATTAAAATTTACAAGTCAGTATGATTAATTCTAAAGAAAAAGACAAATATTGGATTCTGATATTGTGCCAGAAAACAAAATGGATGATTATTTCGCAATGTTTTCTTTGATAATTTGTTCTAAATAGAAAATGTTTTTAATTACATTTCATTGACAGAATAAGGAGTTCGTGTAGTCAGTAGAGTTGTAGCAGCAGAGACAGTAGTAGTATTATTAGTAGTAGTAGTTATACTTGTAATGGGAGCGGTATTATTATTATTATCATCGATGACAGTGCCGACAACAATAACATTTTGATGTTGTTGTCTAACTAGATCAGATGGTACTGTAACAGTTGGACGAACAATACCGAATGGTTCAATACTTTGAAAATCTGACAGAAAATCATCAAATTCTTTTAACATTCTTTCATGTCGTTCTAATTCATCAACTAAAGCGTCAGCATCGAATAAAGATGACTGAGCTGTGTTGTTATTATTATTCACAACACTAGGAGAAATCGTAGTTGAATTATTGTTACTGACAGTTGTATTAGCAGTAGTATGGTGGATATGTGGTACTTGGAATAGGTCCAGATTAGCTCTTTCACGAAGTTCAGAAAATAAATGTGTCAATCGTGCACCACTAACACCGAATGTACTAAACGGTAATTGAAGTGGTACTTGTTTACTAATTAAATCATCATCCTCATCATCACTAACTGATTCTTTATCAATTGGTGCACTAGTATATTGAGATCTAAGATTTTTTATCAATTCTTGTATGTCAATATCGTCAATTATAGGAGCATTGTGTTGTTCATTGATTTCTATATCTTGTTTAATATGAAGTACTTCTCTGTCAATTGTATGAGAAGATTCATTATCAACATTAGAATCAACTGAATCTGACTCTCTACCGCCATCAACATTACAATGATCATCCTCCTCCTCCTCATCGTCATCATCATCGTGTGATGAATCAGCCTGTTCTTCTTGTGTTTCTAGTATTCCTGTATGTTTGAATCTTCGAGCAACCTAAAAGAAAAACACGAATTACTAAAACACTAATAATAAACGAAATGAAGAAAGGTTAAAGCAATGAAGTAAACAATCAGTGATCTACAACAAATTGGCGTTATTCATTTTATATGCTGTATCCGAACGAAGACTGAAGAGATGCCAATTCTCGAAACATATGTATTCTCATATGTAATCATTCTTTTGTATATTACCACCACTAAAGTGACTACTTCTATGAATTTGGTGTTCATCTTGTTGTGATAATGAGGTATGAAAACTTGGACCGATGCATATGTGTGCCTGGTCCTACGTTGTAGATAACTGACTTTAGCACATGATATCGATTAACATCACAAGAAAACATTGTAAAATAATCTATGATACAAAAACCAATGCCTGATAATTATATAAACTTTATTGGCGCATAAGTGACTTAACTCCAAAGTATATCCTCAATAATGAGTTGAAAACATATAATTTGATAGATACTGCTTTCTTGTATTTGTATAGAACACTGACTTTATCATATCTGTAAAAATCCAATCCAACTGAGAGAGAGGATGAATAGAGAAACGAAGATGGCAAAGATTATCAATACAAACAACCGGACCACTTGTAGATACAGGATATACAAGCAAGTATCTTATTTGATAAAGGTAGGACATGTAAATCCTACATTCCTAACTCATGAAACTAATTGTACCGTGTCTGTAAGAAGTTATGAACTATACTAAGCTATATACATTACATAATATATGTACCAACATACAAATAATGTATAAGAATAAATTAATTTACTCGTTCAGCTGATTTTTTACTCAATAACTGACTGGCTGGATCAAATAATTCATCCGATTCCGATTCGTATTGTTCAACTGCAAAAGCTGGCTTTACCCTACTATAACGAGAGTATGAAAAAAAATAATTCGATCAAACACACAGGTAAGTAAGTATAAAAACAATAAGGTCACAGTGAGTCAGTGAAGCTCAGTGATTAATGTACTCGGCTCAGAACCAAACATCCAGGTTGGAATTCTGTCTTACTTGTATTATTTTGACCAGTATTCCTCTTGTTATAGTACAAATATTATGGCTCAAAACCAAGAACTTGTGATGAAGTAACTCACTTGATAAAAGTAGATTCGTATACTTGTGTTTGAGTCAAAATTTATGCGTGAGGGGTTAGTGATAATAGCCAGAAGGATTTAAACCTGAGGTCTAGTGATTGAAAGTCGGACACACTAACCACTAAATCATTACTTAACACATAAACCTGTACTTGGTAACAATATTTAAAAAAACAGTTACAGAAAGCTTACCATGGCAATTTAGACTGTTCAAATCGAATCATATCAACAGTCGGTGTGCTAGTTAGAGGTTTAACAAAAGGTGTCTCTGAGACACGAACATGTTTCTGTGGTTTTTTATGATTACGTAGCGCATGGAAGTTTACACTATGATGACCATTTGTATCGAATATCTAGATATTTTAAAAAAAGAAAGTGTGAAATGATAAAGAAATCCAGAGATTGTTAAATTGGCACTATGAAATACAGTAATTAAAACAAGTAACAACCAGTAGACAGCATACATATTCAGTGCACTAATTACTAAATAGTGATCAATGTCATGTTTATTTAGACTTTTGATGCTGATTGAGTCCCATCAACCAATTTATTATGTAGCTACTAATCTAATTGATTCAATATGATATAAAAGTTAATTATCTGGAAATCCTGCTTGATTTAGGTCCCGTTCTAGTTGGCACTTATCCGAAAGGTATGCTTGCGATTTTGTGAAAACTGATGCTCCATGTAGGATTCGAGCCCGCATCGATCAGCATAACAATGTGAGACACTACCAATGCAACCTAGTAACGAATTTCAAAAGTATATCGTAGTCAATATTAAAAGAATGTAACTTAATAATAAATAATCTTATCAATCACATACAACTCATAAATGTAAGTAAACCAGCTAAATTACTACTATTACAACTAGATACATATATATGTGCCAACTTCAATCTGATGAGAAAGTATCAGGTTAAACGGAAGAAAAGTTCAATCACTTTTTTATGACAAATCAAAATAGTTATGCTAATTCCTTCGTCTATCTGCCTGTCTATCATTACAACAACCTATTTATCAATAATTACAATCAAAATTGGTGATTAATTAGTATAATTGCTAAACGATGTGTACGACTAATGTGTAATTACTTAGATACTAAATTTTTAAGTCTAAGCATAAGTAATATTTCAAGTTGCCAATGTCGGCTGATTGTTTAAACCGGAACACATGATTAGTACAAGTGATTGATTCAAATTTGTGGTAAATACTTTGTTATAATCTCAAATTTTCTTACGGTTAATGACCCAGCTATTCCTATTGCTTAGTATTCTCGGACACCGATTCACTCGACAAGTCCCCAAATCAAAACACGGTTGAACAGGAAGAGATTATATTCCAAATAACAAGGTTAGATGGAAGTCAGAAGCACAATAGGGAAAACGTCAGCATATTTATAGTTTTTACGTAAGAAGATTCTAGAGTCTTCTCCAACTATCGACCAGTGCTGATTGGATAAGAATTAGCCAATCAGCGTGCACCAAAGCAATCATGCATTGAGCATGCTACAATCCGGTCTATGTCCCGCTAACATACTTGGTAAAAGATTAGAAATTACCTAGGAAGTTTAGTGTCTTGAATTGACAGGGCTCCGAAACAGCTGTCAGGAAGAGGCTAATGAGAATATTCAGTATATAAGTGAGACTCGAACCTAGCTGGAATCTGAATACCCTAATCATCAAGTTGCAGATCCACCTTGTAATAGTCTATAAACATAGCAATAAATCAATCAGTTAGTCTCAACGTAGAACCTGGTACATATGCACATTGGTTCAAATTCCTATACCACATTAACAGAGATAAGAATGTCAGGTCAAGTCTGAGAATAATAGAGGTAGTAACAGTACGACGGGTAATATAAAAGATTAGGGATTGAAGATAGGATCCAAAAAAATATAAATTAATGAAATAAAAACAAGAAAGTTATGAGGAATTCCGAAGCTGAGAATTTGGGGGAAGACAACGAATGGATGCACCTGTGCCATTGCAAATGATTTTGAGCCTCTAATCATTAGTTGCGATAATCATGCGAATCCCAAACAGAGAGTTTACATAACAAAAAATCACTTAATTTTACAACTCCCCATAATAAGATAGCAGTTATCTCCAGTCTTAATGGTACAATCGACAGAATATTTTCTCCATATAATATCAACACGTGACTATCAATTTTGTACCCTAATAATTATCAAGTTATACAGACTGAAGCGTACTTTATAAAACTTCTGTCTAACACGTGAAAGATCGCTAGAAAGAGGTCAACAGCAGCCAGCTGAGTAGTATCATTAGTCATAATACAAAGAGGTGTGACTTGAAATGAGGTACATAAACATGTAGTAGATATATGAGTATGACTAGTGCTACTACCACCACTATTATTATTATTACTACCAGAGAGTGGAGACTGATATATTTCTACGAAAATACAGAATCAATAATCGTGAATTCCATACAACTGCCTATTTCTTTTGAAAAAATATTTTAAGAGAATAAGAAATGAATAGGAAAAACAGTTGAATGAACCAAATTATAAATAGTACAACTACATAATACAAATATTAATATAATCGATAGACTGCACTATTCACTGACGGAGGATAAGAGATTAAGAATAGAATGGCATAATGCACAAGATTATAACCAAATAACTCAATGAAACAAATGAGAATGATGTACTTTAAATTCTGCAATAACAACAAAAGTTTGTGAATAACTTCAGTTTGTGTTGTTAATGTACATAGAATGGTATACTTTTTAAAGGTACATATAAAAACAATTCAATTAAACTGGTTTACCTCGTGTATTCCGTTTTTAGGAGATAAATTCCCTTTAGTAAGACCATCAATCATAGGTATTAATTTATTATTTGAACTAAAATGAATTTCTGTACGATAATGAACAGTTGTACCTAAATAAACTGGTAATAAACCATCAGCAATAATTAGACCGGGATCTGATTCAAGTTTTGTTAATTTTTGATCGGTCGGTGTTGAACTAGAAGATGATGAGGGAGCAGTAGAGAACATTTGTTCTTCTTTAGGTGATTGTGGTATTGCTAACCCAGAAAATATACGACCGACTTGATAAGATTTCGGGGTTGAACCAAGTCGAGAAAGATCGCTAGGACCACGACGCAGTGTATAACACATTTGATATTCATTTGGATCTTGACGACGAGAAAGTTGATAACCTGAAGTGTAAATATACATCAATCTAGGATACGAGAAAAACTTGCGACAAATTTCTTTTTTTAACAGTATACGATTGTGCAGATTGATATCAAGAATGGATCAGTGTTAGACCAACATTGAAAATTTGGAAGCAATGGACGGCGGAATTAACACCGTTGGATGTCAGCCCAGTGGTTTTGAGGTTAAGCTTTCGCGAGCGAGAATGAAGGTCCCGGGTTCGAGTCCCGCGTGCGTGATCGTGGATGCGCACTGCTGAGAAGTCCCATACTGGGACAAAACGGCCGTTCGGTGCTTCCAGGTTCTCAATGGCGGTCTAACATTGACCTATTGATATTATTATTTCTTTTTCCAAATATACCACCATGGCTCATTGACTAATCAAACAAGAAAATAATGAACAGATTTGATGTGCAAAAATGAATTTCCAAGAGCACCATATCATCAAACAACAATATTTCAATCAATAAATTCTAACCATTTTATTTAACAGAAATTGAATTAGTAATATTGATACCAATAGGAAAACTCTTAGGATTGATTATACCTAAAATTGATTACTGGTAAAAACAGAAGTGGTAAATTTAATTTTATAAATCATTTAGTTTTCTCTGTTGAGACGTTTTGTGAAAATAAGTCTAATTTGTACCAACAGTGTAGACCTTGGAAGGGATGCATTGTACATTGAACAAATACCTCCAGTGCTCTTTGATTCTTAATTATATTTGCATCAATGTTAAACCATAACGAAAAACCCACCTACAGATGATTTGTTCATTGAAGATCAAATGTTTTTTTTTATAATAACTCTCTATAATTCGAGTAAGGTCAATGTTTTCAATGTACGTAAGTCCTGATAATACATAGACGCATAAATACATAGACAACGTTAATTGAAAAGATAAGCGAGTAGTGGTGATTGAGTGGCCAAAGTAACATCTGATTTTAAATTACTGGGTTACAAAGATAAGTAAGAATTTGTTATTTCCGAGTGTTGGTATTGAGAACTGCAATTAATCAGTCTTGGTTGTTATACGTGCCTCTTAGTTACAAAGGTTTAATATGTTTTGATCATAGCTTCGAGTGAGATCTATATTGCGCGTTTGATCATCTTTATGACTCGTTAACTAAACGGACCTACATCCCAGTGTTAAAATTCACACTGAGACTCAAACTCAGTACCTTTCTACTCAAACACCAATGCATTATCCACTGAGCTACTTGTCTCAGATGGTCATCAGCTTATTTGACAAGATTGCAGTTATTATTAAGGTATATCCGGAATCAACACTATTAATATTAAGATATTACTACTCCTCGAAAACAAGTAATTGAAGTACAAAAGTACAAGAAAATATTTAAAAATTAACAACTGATTACCAGGTAACAGGCGGGTAACTACCATTATTGATTTCAATAATGTCCCAAGTTTCTCGAATAAACGTAGATGCCTAAAATCATCCACAGCATATTCAGTTGATTGTGAACCATCTGTATAATTTCCGGCTCCTGGTAAATTACTATTATTATTATTGGTAGTAGTAGTAGTATTACCAGTGGTTGAATTAGGATTATTTGTAAACTGTAATGTAGTAGTATTAAGTCGTTCTATAATATCTAACCGAAATTGCCATACTTCTACAACCATTAACATTTGTGGTTCTTTAGGCCAATGAGCCAATATTTCTAAACTAAGCAAATCTTGTACATGTACAGGGAAATTCGCATCTAATGTTTGTTTGATAGTTGCACCGATTTCTGGATCTTCTTCAACATACACCATCTGAATTAGATGATACATATGGATTGTGGAAGAACAAAAATTGAAGAAAAATAAGAGAAAAGAGAAAACTATTGACCAGGGGACGCGCACAAGGTAGATATTATAGCACAAAACCGAGAATAATTAATACCAGTAATTAAAGAAAAAACAGAGCTCCATGCATATACACTACAAATATATTCTATTTATTTAACATTTGAGCTAGATTAATTGTGAAATGTAGGCTTTCAATAACAATACAGAAAGAATTGTGTAGACATTACAAAGAAAACTAGTGAAATGCTATTGCAGTTTCCGATTTAGCCATAAAGTTTCAGGTAGCCTCAATAAACAAGCATCTACTGAGGTATACAACAGATTTATCTTGTTATCCTGTTATCATAAAGTTTTTGAATTGAGGTTTAATCCAATTTAGAATACAAGTAGCTAGATACTAAGAGTACAGAATCCTGAGAGTATCTATAATTTAATGAGTGAGTTTTTCGAATATATTGTTGGGGGAGTCGAGAAATATTTCTCGTCAAAGTCTTTGGAGGACCAGAAACACCAAGAAAAGTTTTATCTAGTCAGCGTTGAACAGAAGCTTCGCATAAACATCTAGAAAATGCAAAATCACGTGTCACGGTTTTTGACTGGATATTTACCTATACTGCTACTGTATTTAGTATGGTTCTAGAAATTCCCAGGAGCCCAAGGACGTATGTAACCCCCATTTTTCTGTACATAAACTTACTTTGGAGTAAATCATTTACTCGCAATTCGCGCCTTCTCTCTAGTGTTCCAGTTGATGTGTGGAAGTAGTTGGGCCTATGGGAACCGGGTAGGAAGATAGATTGGGCGTACCAGAAGCAAGACATAAATATATATATAGTCATAATATCACTAAGGCTCTTAAAGGAAATTTGAGTTTTTATCATACGGATTATGTTTTTAAGTTACCAATACCCATATAACAGTAAGAAATATACTTATTTTTAACAACGATTGAAATTAAAATTAACAGGATGTTAGATATGATTGACAGTAGTATACATTAGTTTCTTATACTCTATCATACACTAAAAATTGTTGAGATTTCTTCAGTTTCAATAGAAGTGAAAGAGCTTATATTTATTAACAGTTCAACTTAAGTGTTAAATGAATACATGAAACCAACATATGAAATGATACAACGGCAGGTATATGCACAGTAAGAATCCTGGACAGATAGATTTTAGGAACCATACTATTAAAAACACAATCCACCCTTCTTATAAATTTGAATGATCATTAATTAACATTAGCCAAGTGGAACTATGTGCATCTTTCGAACTCGGATTACAATCATTCTGAAAGTAACCGGTTATGATTTGATGCTTTCTTGTAATCTCAATTTAATTAGTTTAGTTTAATAATTCTCAACCAGTTATAGCTACTGACGAAATATTGATAATAGACAAGAAAAATTATGAAACAAGAGACTTAGTTCATGGTGCCCTAAATAGGTATCCATGGCATCGATATTTTTCATCTAATTGCCCCGTTTAGAAATAATCCTCCTTAAAGATCCTGTTAAAGTAAATGGGTTGATACCCAGTTGACACAACCATCTAGAAGACTGGTCACACATACTCCCGAAAGATAACTGTTTGAAACCTGGTAAATGTAACCGGGTGAATATTTTTTTATTTCTCAACTACGAAATATTTGTTTAGTACCTCATATTCACCGCCTTTTGGCAATACTAAACATTAGTCAACCGCCTAAACATGCTAGTAAATGAAGCAACAAGTGATCTAGTCAGTATAGGTGGATTGAGTCGTTACAATACACAAACCTGATCATATAGAATCTACAATCAGAAAGATCCATAAATCAAAGTGAAGATGAACATGAAACCAGCACAAATTCGCATTCAGTAGAATACCACCAACTAGAAAATATTAAGAAATTACCATATTGTTTCTGGCGCCAACTTCAGACACACAATTAGTGTTACAAACAATCCCATTACGGGCTTGTACGATAGCATGTATTGACTTGATTATGAAAGAACGCAAACATCTATAGAAACGAAACAAAATAAAGCAGAACTAGTACAAAAGGTCTGAATATTTATAAAGGTAAATAAGCTTAAAGCACACATCGAATGTGCTAACCGAAGGTTTAATATAAAACGACAATTAAAAGCTTACTTTGTGAAACCAAATTAACAAAACTCACTTTAAGCAAGAGTGAATGAGAGGTTACACGAAATTAACTCTAGTTTGGAGTTCCCAAAGTCCTCGATTTTCAACCATAACCAACAGGAAAGGTACTAACGACATTAAAGTTCGAAAACTTATCCAGTCAACGAATGGAACGAACAGTGTCTAATGGATAACTGCTTGAGAACGGCTACAAACGGTCCTTTCATGAAAAGTTCTAGATGCATTAGCTCCATATTTACAAGTCCTTACAAACAACGATGTAAATTAGTGGGAACAAGACACGCTACTTCGAAGCCGGGCATTTCAGTGTGAGTAACGATATCTTACCAGAAGTAATTATCATTGATTTGTGTGTGGGATGGGATACTGCCGAGGTGTCCGAATCGAAGCACGTGGCTTCTTTAGGGAGCAACACGCTGGGCCTTTGACCTAAGAGTCTAATCCACAAGGCAGTGGAACGACGTTGGGAGATGCAGTCTCATGGTGACTGTGACCAACAAGGGTTTCATCCACTATTTGTTCCCTCAGGATCCTGGAGTTCATGTGCACGGTTGGTTTGGAATCAGTAGGTTGCAACTCCCTTAGGTGGATCTTCCGTACTCACCAATCCGGTTAAAGCGCGATAAGTTTGTTCTTGTCCTCTCTATTTCGTAAACGACACCCACGTTGCGAGAAATCAATGAGTAGAAATTCACTTGTAGTGTCAGCATATGCGTGGTCATGTGGGAGCACTTCGAGAGGAAAAGCGGACCCTCCCCATTCTCGACATTTGGGGACTGTTACATGTTACCTCAATGCTAATTTTCATCACACATGTGATTGTAAGCAGCTGATGAGAAACCATGAAATAAAATGAATTCATATTATTCTGCACCAATGTTTGTTCTGGCATTAGTCATATTCATAAAGGGAACCAATTGAATGAAATTTCCAGAGGGTCGCCTCCTTGTTCATGTTTTCAAGCCACCCAACTAGTTAGTGATAATCTGTTGCAGGATTTTGAGAGAAACAACGAGATTAGAGTTGTTTGGTCAGTGCTTGAATTATGGATGCTTCCATCGTCAATTTATTAAAGCTGTACGTACATGTAAAATACTTACTTACAGCTGTTACTCCTCGTGAAGGAGCATAGGTCGCTCACCAGCATTCTCCATCCAACCCTGTCCTGGGCAATACTTTCCAGCTCCTTCCAGTTGTAATTCATCCTTTTCATATCTGCTTCTATTATCCGACGTAATGTGTTCTTTGGCCTTCCTCTTTTCCGCTTCCCTTCAGGATTCCAAGTTAGAGCTTGCCTCGTGATGCAGTTTGACGATTTGCGTAATGTATGTCCTATCCATTTCCATCGTCTTTTCATAATTTCCTCTTCAGCTGGAAGTTGGTTTGTTCTCTCCCACAAAAGACTTTTGCTGATGGTATCCGGTCAATGGATGTTGAGTATCTTGCGTAGACAGCTATTTATAAATACTTGTACTTTCTTGATTGTGGTTGTTGTAGTTCTCCAAGTTTCAGCTCCATACAGTAGAATTGCCTTGACGTTCGTATTGAAGATTCTCACTTTGATATTGGTTGAAAGTTGTTTTGAGTTCCATATGTTCTTCAATTGTAGGAATGCGGCCCTTGCTTTTCCAATCCTCGACTTTACGTCTGCATCTGAACCTCCTTGTCTATTGACGATGCTTCCCAGATATGTGAAGGATTCTACATCTTCCAGAGTTTCGCCATCAAGAGTGATTGGATTGCTGTTCTCCGCTTTGAATTTGAGGACCTTGGTTTTCCCTTTGTGTATACTGAGGCCTACTGATGCAGAGACTGCTGCTACATTGGCTGTCTTTATCTGAATCTGTTCACGTGTACGTGATAGGAGGGCTAGGTCATCTGCGAAGTCCAGATCGTCTAATTGGTTCTGAGCTGTCCATTGTATTCCGTGTTTTCCTTCAGATGTCGAGGTCTTCATAATCCAGTCGACCACCAGAAGAAAGAGGAAGGGAGAGAGTAAACAGCCTTGTCTGACTCCGGTCCTTACTTGGAATGCATCTGTCAGCTGTCCTCCATGCACTACTTTGCACTGTAGTCCGTCGTATGAGTTCCGGATAATATTGACAATCTTCTCAGGAACTCCGTAGTGTCGAAGAAGTTTCCATAATGTCCTCCTATCTACACTGTCGAATGCCTTTTCATAATCAATGAAGTTGATGTATAGTGACGAGTTTCACTCAACTGATTGTTCGACGATGATCCGTAGTGTTGCAATTTGGTCTGTGCACGACCGATCCTTTCGGAATCCAGCTTCTTGATCTCGAAGTTGGGCATCTACTGCATCCTTCATCCGGTTCAGCAACACTCTGTTGAAGACTTTCCCTGGTATTGACAGTAGTGTAATGCCTCTATAGTTTTTACATTTGCTCAGACCTCCTTTCTTTGGAATCTTGATTAGGTGTCCTTCTTTCCAGTCCATCGGCACTTGTTCCTCCTCCCAAATCTTTTTGAATAGAGGGTAAAGCATGCTTGTGGTTACTTCGACGTCTGATTTCAGTGCTTCAGCTGGTATGTTGTCGGGTCCTGCTGCTTTCCCGTTCTTGATTTGTCTGACGGCCATTCTAATTTCTTCCGTCGTTGGTGGGTTGACATCTATAGGAAGATCTTGAGATGGTGGAGAAGATTTGTAGCTCAGGTGGATGATCTGTGTGTGCTGCTTCGATGTTCGGTGGATTCATTGGAGCCGGCCTATTCAGGAGCTCCTCGAAGTATTCTACCCATCTGTTTCGCTGTTGTTGAATTTCAGTGATTGGCTTGCCTTCTTTGTCTTTGACCGGCCTCTCTGGTTTACTGTATTTCCCTGATAGTTTCTTCGTTGTATCGTAAAGCTGTTTCATATTTCCTTCTCTAGCAGCTTTTTCTGCCGTCGTTGCTAATTCTTCCACGTATTTCTTCCTGTCGGCTCTAATGCTCCTCTTCACTTGCTTGTTTGCTTCTATGTATTCAGCTTGTGCTTGGACTTTCTCTGCTCGTGTTCGGCTGTTGTTAATTGCTGTCTTCTTGTTCTTCCTTTCTTTGATCTTGTCCAGTGTTTCTATAGAGATCCATTCCTTATGATGGTGTTTCTTTAGGCCCAGAACCTCTTGACACGTTGAAGTCAATGTTTCTTTGATGCCTTTCCAGTTGTCCTCCATGGTAGTTTCTTCTTCCTTCAGTAGATCTTGAAAGGCTTGGAACCTGTTGTTGAGAGCTATCTTGAATTCATTGAGTTTGTCAGTATCTCGAAGGAACGCTGTATTGAACCTTTGTAGTGCTGTTTGTCCAATTGTCCAGTTCTTTTTTAGCTTCAGTTTTAAATTGGCTACAACTAGGTGGTGATCTGAAGCTACGTCAGCTCCTCTCCTGGTTCTCACATCTTCCATTGTCCTTCGGAATTTTTTGTTGATGCAAATATGGTCTATCTGGTTCTCTGTAGTGTGGTCCGGTGAGATCCATGTAGCCTTGTGTATACGTTTGTGTGGAAATATTGTGCCTCCTATGACTAATTTGTTGAATGCACACAAATTTGCAAATCTTTCTCCATTTTCGTTCCTCTCTCCCAGTCCATGTCGTCCCATAATATCTTCATATCCAGTGTTTTCTATTCCGACCCTGGCATTTAGATCTCCCATCAGAATGGTGAGGTCCTTTCTTGAGCATTTCTCTATGATTGACTGCAGCCGCTCGTAGAATTGATCTTTAATGTCGTCGTTGCTATCATTGGTGGGTGCATAACATTGGATAATATTCATTAAGATCCCCTACTTCTTTGTTTTGAATGATGCTTTGATGATTCTGGATCCGTGGGATTCCCATCCTACAAGTGAGGTTCGTGCTACTTTGGACAGCATTAGAGCAACTCCCTGAGTGTGTGGAGCATTTTCCTCTTCGTGACCGGAGTATAGCAGCATCTCTCCCGTAGCTAGCCTTTTCTGTCCAGCTTGGGTTTCGCTGATTCCCAGTACTGCTAAGTCGTATCTCCTCATTTCCGTTGCTATTTGGCTGGTCTTCCCGGTTTCCCACATTGTTCGAACGTTCCATGTACCTATAAAAATTTTTGCTCTGGTTGTTACCTCCTTCATCAAAAAATTTACGGCGTGTCACAAAATCCCAAATCGAATGCACCAAGGAACGTATCTCTAAACTCAAAACGTTTGTCAAAGCTTTCGACAAAATTGTTAATAATTTAAATATTATATGTCGAATCAAACTCATGAATTTTATTTATAACGTTCAGTCAAAAACCAGCCGCAAATTTATAGAGTTTAACCCAAAACTTGTAAATCATGACATCTTTCCTATCAATCCAGAAAAGTACATGCAGAATTTATCTAGTAAAAAACTAAGTCGAATTGAAATAGAGACACTCTCCCCTGGACTTAAATTTCATATTCTGAAAAAAATATGACAGAATCGACACCGAAACGCAATTCGAGTATTTATATCAAGTTGTCAGACCCCAAACCTATGAATGATGAAAAACAAAGTTGATTCAAAACGAAATGAGTGGATATTACAAATCAGTACGTTACAACACCAGTTCCACAACCTAAGGTGTTGATTAAAGATCATCAGCAAGAACTGAGACAACTTATGAAAGACGACACAATAATGCTACTTCGACCAGACAAGGGTTCCAGTGTAGTCATCCCAAACAGAAACGAATACATTAGCAAAGTAATGTCCATTTTAAACGATTCCTCGAGACTTATCATCGAAAGACCTGACAGATGCGATTGAGAAGCATCTTTTAAAAAGGTTGAGAGAACTCTTGAAGACAAATTTAATCGATAACTCTACACACAATGAACTCAAACCGAAAGGATCACAATTACCTTACTTGTACGGTTTACCCAAAATACACAAACCTAACATCCCAATGAGGCCAGTACTATCTATGACCAAATTACCATTCAATAAACTCGTCCGCTGGTTGACTAGGTGCTTAGAACCAGTTCACGAGAAAGTAGCTCACTACAGTCTGAAGGATAGTTTCAAACTTGTACAAAAGCTTGACAGCTTAAATGCTTGCGATAAATTCGTAGTATATTTTGATGTTTCATCTCTCTTCACAAAGATCCCTTTGTAAGAAACGGCAAATATCATATGTGAACATCCTGAGCTCTTTCCTTTGCCAATCGACGAATTCAAACAGCTCCTGTTCTTGTGTACCAAAAATATACAATTCCAAATAAAAAATGTGTTGTACAACCAAATTTTATTTATTTATTCATTTTAACACATAGATATTGGTACAAGAAGGCACCAAATACATATGCGCCACACAAATCTTATTCGATATGTGCGAGGGCTGTGATACTTCCCGGGTGCCCAAACCGAAGCAGGTGGTTTTCTTAGGGGGCCACTCCCCGAGCCTTTGACCTAGAGGTCTTACCCACAAGGCAGTGGAGCATCGTAAGGAGATGCAGTCCCATGGTAGCCGGTGACCAACGATTGGTTCATACGCCATTTGTTCCCTCAGGATACTGGAGCGCATGTGCACCATCAGTTTGGGATCCGGTTAAAGCGCCGGACATTCGCTTTTCGTCCTCTCATTTTTGTAAATAACACCCCCGCCACGAGAAGGCAGTGAGTAGGACTTCCCTGGCAGAGGCTATATACGCGTGGCCATGTGAGAGCATTTCGAAAGGGAGAGCGGACTTTCCCCACTCTCGGCCGTACCAGGGCATTTGGAGTAGCAATGAGTAGCCTTCTCGGTTCAATTCCAGCTGATATATATGTGCTCTAGTTTTTTTCTATGATTTAAATCAATTGATTTTCATATCATATCTTACCTCAACACTTCCATTACACATATAATTGTAAGCATTTGATAAGAAACCACGAAATATAATGAATTCATATTATTGTGCAACAATGTTTGTTATGGCCTTATTCAGACGTATGTGAAAAGCGGATGTAATAAACGAATTCACCCATCACTATTGTTTTCCTTACTTCCAATTATGTTCTTGTCGACGTAACGTTTACTCGAAGTTTGATCCTTTTTCATGTTTTTTTTTTATTTCTAGTAGCCTTTTCTTTTTTGTTTCTTTGCGTATAATACAGTCGGAAATTCCCGATTCTTACACACACAGTTCTATGAGGTTTTATGAGGGGTTAATGAGTAATTAATCAACAATATATTTGAAAAGTCCCAAATGTAACTCACTGAACAAGTAGAAGTTTATGTATTTAATTGTCAACCACACTGTTTGTATCTAGATTAACCAAGCATTCTGATCCCTTAAATCAACGTAGGTGGAGCGGAGGTCAAAACTGCGGCTTATTAGTTGGAAGTCGATTACCTTCATCGATAGCATGTTATGGAAAGTTCAAACAATTTTGTGAGTCAGTATTCTGGAATTTTATAACCGTATATTTTAGATTATTTCAACCTTTTTATGCTAAAATAACCGGTTCAAACATATTGTCCACAGTTTTCAATGGCAAAACGAAATTACTAAATATTAGGAACTTTCAGGCTTGAAGTTCGTTCTAGACAACACAATTTGACAATTAAAAGGTAGTAAATAACACAAAAATCGCCAGTACACAACTGAAGAACTTTAGTATTGTAATCCCAGCCTTGCACTATAAAAGTGACTATTCGCTTTTTATAGGCTTTTAACGAATAGGTGGCACAGTTTCGAACCCAACTACTGTTACCACCAATCGAGTAATGTTACCAAGCTACACAAAAGATTTGTGACTCACAGATAAGAATATAAACATGTCATTGGTAGATGAATTACCTTATCTGTTTGGGAAATGAATGATTTTCACAAAAACTAAATAATAATGACTAGGAAAGACTAAAACTTATTAACTTTAACTTACTTTTCGATTGCAAGTTTTTCTTCATGTCTCGGGGGTAAATTGACCATCTAGTCTACAAAATACATGCACGGTTGAAAATAATATCACATGAAAATAATTTAAAAACAACAAAATGACTTTAATAAATGTTTATTTATTAAAGGACCAGACTACATAATAGTGCTAAACAAGGAAATACGATAATAATAATAATAGTAATAGTGGTAATACTATTACTTTGAAAATAATCTGATATAAGCTTACGTAAAAGTAAGATCACAAAACAAACTCCGGAAAATCATACCAGCAAAAATTTGCATCGGTAAAATAAAAAAAACTACTGGTCAATAAAAAAAATAATAAGCAACTACCTTTTAAACTGAAAGATATGTATCAAACATAATTTAATCAATGAGTATATAAAAATAAGAAGAAGAAGCATTGCACAGTGGTTGTAATTACAATGCTTAAAAGGTAACAGGTAGAAATATTGGAAGCCAAATGATTCCATAACAAATGGAAAGATACCAGATTATCAACAAAAAAAAAGTTATCTATTCAGTAGAAGGTTTAACAGTTATGGTTGTTAAAGCCACATCCTGAAAGTCATATGCAGCGGTTAGATGAAATCCCATATTAGCAATTGCGATACCATATTCACTAGCTGAAAACCAACTAAATGCTTAAAACAAATAAACAAATATAATATCAACATGGTTATGGGTAATTTAAAATAAAATGACGAATAACTAGTAAAACACAAGTGAACTAAGACAAATGAATACAATTTGGCAAATTTAGCTTACTAATTACTACACATTTATGAATAGTAACTGATATTAACAACGGTAGTCTATTTGGACTGGTATCGATCGGTTCACCACGACTCCCTGGCTGGATTTCTGAAGATGATGCAACTTGGTATCTTAAGATATTATCAGACATGGTTGAAAATAGGAACCAATTGTGGTTCCGCTGTAGTTTTCCTCTGAAATCTCCATAAAAGTGAGAACATTAATTAGAAGAATCCTCCCTTACTGTATTTTACAACTGATTTACTTCTGATATCATCAACTATTCTCGTTCACTTATTTCGCTCTTCTCTATCTCTTCAAAACTTCATTTTCGTACTATGTGGTGCATATTTTATTTATTATTTATTTATTTGAACACATACATATTGGTACAAGAGTGCGCCAATATATATGCGCCACACAAAACAATGATAATTCGAATAGGAAAAAAGGTAAGGAGGGCAAAAAAAGAACAATAAGGAAGAGATTGGTGTAAGGTAGTATAATAATAATGGTGGTAATAATGGGGTAAACGGAAAGGTACAATCAGAAGAAATCTTTCAGTTAAGGAAGATACAACCACGTTTTATGAAGAAAGTAAAAGGTTATAGCAGGATCGCCACTGGCTTCTATTCTGAGCCATATCTAATAACGCCTCTAGCCACTGTGTAGCACTATCTCTCAGACCCCAGCCAGGGAGTCGTAAAGGACCAACAGAAGCCAGTCCTTTACAGCTTCCTTTCATACCATGACACCATGTCATACACTGGCCACCTCTCCGCTTCTTCCAACCAGTCCCAGAGTCAGCAAATAATGCACAACGTGGAATTCTCTGGGACGACATTCGTAGAACATGTCCAAGCCACTGAAGTCGGTGTTTCAAGATGGTGACACCGATTGCATTATCGTCTCTGTGCCCGAACACAAGATGCTGAACCTCTGCATTACTAACATGGTGTTGCCACTGGATGTCAGCAATCCTTCGGAGACAACGATGATCAAACACATAGTTGTCTAACATCCTCAACTCGGAAAGGGCAGGTTTCACAAGCACAGAGCAAAACCTTTTACAGCCAGACTAACATCACGAAGGCGCCAAAGGTGGCCCAAATTGGCATAAGCCGCTCTGGCTTTCACTACACGTGCATTGATCTCATCACTCACACCCTCACCAGCACTTATGCAGCTACCTAGATACACGAACTTCTCGACTACGTCTATGTGCTCACCATCCAGAGTACAGGATTACAATCCTGCCGGTCTTGTAGAAGTACTTTGCACTTCGAAGGCGCAAAGCACATACCATACCTACGGACACTGACTGCCAACTGATTAAGTGCGGATTGCATGCCTTGGGCATTATCTCACAGTAAGACAATATCATCCGCATACTCAAGGTCGAGAAGTCTTTCTTCAGGCAACAGATCCACACCGCCATTACTTACATCCATCAGAGCTGTTTCCAGAATGTCATCGATGGCAAAGTTGAAGAGGAATGGTGAGATCGGGCAATCTGTCGGGGTATAGGTGGAGATGACGAAAAGACATCGTTTCTCACGCCGATTTCTTCTCACATTGATGGAACTCTCTAATCTAACAGCACAAAACCGACTGTTAATGGGGATCCAATCGACTAGTGCTGCCTCAGCTCTAGTGCTTAGTGCGACACCAACGCCAGCAAGACCAGACGAAGATGCCACAGGGTTACCGGATAAGCGCACGTAAAACAAGCTTTTCGAAGCGACAGATGGAGAGCGAATTTGTAGTACTTCACCAAAGTCTTGAATACGGGTCTCGGATAGACAGCAAACATCGATATTAAGACTTCCCAAAGACATAGCCAGCCCTATCTGTTATCCAACCTAAATAAGTGTGCAAACGTTGAAGGCAGTCAGTTTGAATGGTGCACGCGGTTTCAGAAAAACTGCTTCAGTACTCATATTTGGTGGTAACATACAATTTTCAACCGGACAGTGACTCGAGAATGTTTAGATACAGTCAAATTTCCACCATAGACGAGCTGCTGTATAAGTCGAAAAAATAAGTATAAACAGAGTGGGAATAAAAGAGGGTGAATAATGACGTAGTAAATAATAATAATAATGCGAGTCACTTGATTGTTATTTGGAGCGAGAGGAATATTTTTCATAAGTAGATAGTTTATCATGTTTTTGTGTGTGGGCCGAGATACTGCCCAAGTGCCCAAACGGAAGCAGGTGGTTTTCTTAGGGGGCTGTTAAGCCTAATGCTATCCTTGGACATGAAATGGTATCATCCTATTGGTCAATATTCATTTAACGTGTCATTTTCCTGTTGGCCAATATTGTACAATGTTATTTTTATTTTATGGTACGATGTGGATTGTTTGGTTGGTATATAAACAGAGCATGTTTGAAATATAAAGATTCATATCTCCGAAGCTGAGACTTGTGTTCTGGACTCAAAAGGCTGGGCTAGACAGGGAAGCGGGACTAATCAGAGCCCTAGGCCGTTCTTACGTGTTTGCGCGTCTTTGGTCCGATCGATAATTCGCTGTCTTCTAATCTGCTGCCGTCACAGTTATAGCAGAGGCCACACCCCGAGCCTTTGACCTAAAGCTCTAACCCACAAGGCAGTGGAGTATCGTGAGGAGATACAGTCCCATGGTAGCCGGGGACTAAGGAATTGGTTCATACGCCATTTATTCCTGCAGGATACTGAAGCCCATGTGCACCATTGGTTTGGAATCCGGACATTCGCTTTTCGTCCTCTCATTTTGTAAACAACACCCCCGCCACGAGAAGGCAGTGAGTAGGACTTCCTTGGCAGAGGCTGTATACGCGTGGCCGTGTGAGGGCATTTCGAGAGGGAGGGCGAACCCACCCCGCTCTCAGTCATACCAGGGCATTTGGGGGCGGTGCATATTTACTTCAGTGCCCATTTTTACCAACATTTATTTTCAAATTAACAAATAGATTGTTGATTCCATCATTAGTATGAGTTAGTTGAAAGCGCTGATATCCATTTAAAACTCTTAGCTAATCATTAACCAAGTACAAATCAAATGAACCAACGGATCGAGGGTAAAATACTCCCCATCTCGAAACGCTCCCAAATGACCACGCATATACTGACACTACAAGTGAAGTCTTACTCAATGATTTCTCGCAACGTGGGTGCTGTTTACAAAATAGAGAGGACAAGAATGAATGTATGGCGCTTTAACCGGGTTGGTGAGTACGGAATATCCACCTAAGGGAATTGCAACATACTGATTCCAAACCAATCGTCCACATGAACTCCAGGATCCTGAGGGAACAAATGGTGCATGAAACCATTGTTGGTCACGGGTCACCATGAGACTGCATCTCCCAACGTCGTTCCACTGCCTTGTGGATTAGACTCTTAGGTCAAAGGCCCAGCGTGTTGCTCCCTAAAGAAGCCACGTGCTTCGATTCGGACACCTCGGCAGTATCCCATCCCACAAATATATCCATGATAATTAAAACTGAACGTAATTTCTTTAACTGCAACAATTCTTCTTGTTGCATTTTTACTAACTGAACTGTTTCTCGCATTGTTATCGTTATTATTACTTCAATTTCACACACAAATTTCTGATCGTTGTTCTTTTTGTTATACGCACTTTACGTTTTCTGTCTCTTCACAACCTGATTGTTATTGTGTAGCGCATATGTATTTGACGCCCCCTTGTACTATTGTGTTCAAATAAATAAAATACTTAAGTAACTTAATACGATTTAGAGGCATAAACAGGTATAAACACAACGGAATTTGATTAAGATTGGAAGCAGTTCAAGTTGCCACATCTGATATCAGTAAAGTAACCTCCAAGGACAGTGAGGAGGAATTGATGCTAGAAGAAAAGTTATGAAATGTTCACCAAAGGTTGAAAACAGACATTACTGCTAATGACCATTATAAAAATAGACAGCAGATGAGATTTCCTTAGTTTATGGAGGAGCGGTCGTGATTCATCTCGCTCTCATCAAAACACGTCTGAACGTAGACAACGGAGAACATTTAGATATTTTATTCAAACAATACCAAGCGCCTTAAAGGTCTCTACAAACAACTAATTGCATGAACTAAATGTTTATTTACCTTAAATATATTATCTAACATAGACAGCAACATCAAAAATATGACGTTCTTATGAGAAGACAAGAAAGTGACATTGTCAACAATATTATGAGCTACCTTAGTATTATTACTCGAAATCTAACGCTCAGTCGATAATTTAGTTTCATGGTTATTGGAGAATTTTATGGTACAAAAACTATGAATTCATGCTACTTAGGAAGCGTGAAGTTTAGGACGCTGGCCAACAAGTTTCAGGATTCATTACGAACTTTTAAAATGATAATCCGTTTTTCACACCATGAACATTGCCACATGGCAAAAATAGTCGAAACGTCAGTCAACTATACGCAACGTATATCCTAGTACACATGTGAATTGATCCAAGCTACTACACTACATTTGACAGCGCGATAAAACTATGAAGACAAACCCAAGAATAGTAACAGTGACGACATCAATAATAGCCGAAAATATTGGGTATATATAGTATATTAACAAAGAATCACGATTATAAACCACTTATATAGCGAGTCATCGACTGAGACGAGTAAAGCACAATAGGTTAAACAGACACTCATTTGGGATTTTATTTACAATTTAAAACAATTTCAGTAAGTTCTCATAAACTTAGTCCAGCATGAAATGTAGATAAATACACTTCATAGAAATATGGCAACAAAATATGTACGAGTGCCTGATATTTTGTAATTTTGAATTTATCGGATTAAGTTTGAAAATTACTTTCTAGTGGTGACAAGTAAGATAAAAATTGGACAGTTGTACAAATACAAAACAAACTTACCGTTTGCCTTACAGGCAAACCTATGGTTGTAGAACTGGTGGACTAACAAGAGGATTAAGCAAACATCTAGTCCGAAAAACAGGGACTTCAGGTTAAAAGAATATTTGAACTGAAAATATTAGTATACGAGATACAAACACGTTACTCTCGGAGTGCAAGAAGTGATCCCTATTATCCAATGAACCACTAGAGTGACTATCATATAGGCAGTTGAAGCGATCAGGAAAACGATGAACAAATGTTCATGGAGAGCTACAAAATCTTTCATAACAAACAAGATGAAACATACGGTAATTCTCTTGGTTAGATACAAAAGCCACTCCCACAAACGAACCCACATCTAGAAGGTTGAGACAGAATGCAACAACAGTCAAAATTTTATAAATCAATGACTGGTTGAACATTTTGTGATAAGACATATGGTATCGAAGATATATAAACGCAAGGAGTAAACGTGGTGCACTATGCAGCCCAACTGTGTAGCGCCATAAATATATTTGAGGTTTTATCCCAGTGACAGCACTGATAGATGGAACAAAATTGGTGACCTACAAAGTAATTCTAAGACTGCACCAATTACCCCACACACGGATTCCGTAACCTCATCGAAAGTATTGTATGTCGATACAAAGAAGCAAATAATCAGGCCAAACAACGGTAACGATACACCAGCTACTACAAATAAGGGAAATGGAATCCAAAGCAACCGATATAACCCTTTATTTTCACAAGCCATAACAACTGAAGCCTTCCCCTTACCTGAAGCGTACTGTCCGAATCTCGCGGTCTTAAATTTCGTGATCTAAAACATCCTGATTTCCCGAATACATTATGACACTCTACAGTAACCTGGTGTGATCCTTTAGAATTTCGATCGATTAGCAAGAACAGATTTATGTCTCTGCTTATATTCAGAGTAGCCACATAAAGAGCGGCTTAGGAAGCTATACCACTTTAGTTTGTCCTTCCTCAGATTAAGAGGTGATTTGATTTTGATGTATAGAATTATTTCGGACCTGGTTTATTCCTTCTTTTTCTGCCTATCAGATCGGGGCAACTCATAGGACACAGCAGGAGAGTACAAAAGCCAAGATCAAACAAAATATACGTGACTTGTAGGTTTTCACACCGAGTCATTAATTGTTTGAACCTGTTGCCAGAGAAATGGTATCCGTCTCCTCAATTGACTCATCTAAAGGAAAACTAGATGCCCTCAGAAGCTTATCATAAAAAGAATAACACACGCCGTAGGCCTTCTTTGCTCAACATACAAATGTGTATCTAAAATCTTTCCAGCTAAAATTCCACTGATAACTTGAGACGAAACCCCGACCGATATAATCTAAATGGTTCAAACAGTCAGAAGGAATACCTAACCTGCTTTGCTGAAATTCATGTCAAAATTGAGTTCAAAGTAGACACTCAGAGGATCAGATTCAAATTTCCTTGGCAAAATAAGCAAATTTCTTGTGCCTTGGGATCTGTCATATTATTTTCTTATTTCTTCAGTTGCGGAGAGATAGGACTTTCCATATCCTTTCGATAAACTGACGGCAAATCAATTTAGTTATTAACGGAAGTTAATGGGAAATAATACTAAAAGTACCCCCCCCCCCCCTAGTGTAGGAAGTAATTTCCTACAGGTGTAATTCCGAACTATTCTCTTGACTGTCGAGCACATCAGGACTAAAAAATTGTTCAAGGCTTTCTCACCATCGAAAAGTGGAGAAACAAAACAGTGGTAGTGACAGATGGGGCTTGCCAATCTTCTAGTCGCCTTTTTTATATATTAGATAAAATTCAGGCCCGAATTTTTTAGTAGATACAGGAGCCAAAGTTAGCGTAATCCTTGTCACATAAGCTCGACAGTCACTAAATAAGAGTAATAAGTATCCACTGAGTGATGAAAATAAAACCGAAATGAAGAATTCCAGAGAGCGGCTACTTATTTAAGATCTAGGCTTCAATAAATGACGATTTCATCACTGTTGTTCGTAAATATCCAGAAACGATAAAGCATATTCAACGCGACGATAAGGTTAAACGCTCAATAATACATTATGATGGAATGAAAGAACGACCGACGAGGCCACGTACATAAAGACTAGAACTTGAAAAATTTCTGGAACGATTTGGCTCTCTAGTAGGTCATGAGAGTCTCCGCTACTTATGATAGTGAAGAAAGGCAAAAATGGCGTACTTGTGATAGTTATAGGAGCCTGAGTGGTTCAAATGTTAATTTCAATCCAATTCTACCAACTGCCTTGGATCTCAGGAATTTTAAACATGATATGGGTCGCCTAACTCTGTTGACTAGGACACCGTCACCTACGGATATTTCAGTGTTCAGATCACAAATTGATGCTATACAATTTTATCCAGAATAGAAGGGCCGTGTTATTTGTATAACAAGAACAATGTTATTTGTCAGGTTAATAGTTTTTGTACTCTATTTTTATACCTGGAATCCATACTTTGACCGTTTTTTGCAATCTGCAACTGAATATCTAGAAAATCAAAAGCCAAAGTTCTGAATTAACAATACTCTAGTTATAAGTAATAATTATAACAATAATTCTCATTACGAACATTCGATGTTTGAGTTTAAAAAACCAAAGTACTTAACGACAAACCATGAAAGACACAAACCAAAAATTTCAGTGTTCAGAACTAGAGTAAAACATGCACCCGAAATACAGTAAAATGGATGACATTCTCAATAATAGTCTATTGTAAATTAAATACTTTGAGACTACTTCATAATACCTCATAGTTTGCACATTTACCTTGCTTTTATATTGTTATATCTAGAGATTAGATTCTTAATATACCGCGTAAAACCTGAGATTTCGAACGCTAGAATCCTCCAAGTCTCAAATAAAAAGACGGAGGACAGGTGAAAAGAATACTATCCCAAACTGTTGAATATGGTACAAAATTCTCAGATATTTAAAGTTTGTAATAAAAATGAAATCACCAATACAGTCATCCAATCCGTATAAAGGTTATTTTTGGCATTTGTCCAAGAGGGGGGCTACATGTAGAGATGTTGGAATATCCTTCCAAAAGATGATTGGATGGAATATTTTCTGCTTCTTCCGAGCTTTCTGGAGCTTCTTAGAGTTCACCCGTGGGCCGTTTTCACATCTCTACCTTTAAAAGCCTCTCATGTAAGGCTTTTTCCTCGGGTCCACCTGAAACTTGTTTACCGCATTCCTCTTACGGTCAATCACTCTTAAAAGTTGTGCCGTTTTGCTCTTTCGTATTTATATCTTCTACATTCGTTCTCCTTAGGGCTCTTTTGCGATGAACCCATGAACACTTGAAACAACATTTGGCTTTGTGTGATAAATGTTCGGCCCTCCCTTCAAACTTGACCTATGACATATGCGTCCCGACATTTCTCCAGACTACGTATAGTACATTTCAATCCGACGTTCTGTAACCCATGGTTTCCACTTCCTATTACCTTGACACGACTTGGCAAATGCCCTTTCAATCACCTGTCAGCTATGAGTGACCATCCGATACACACTTTTAGGTTTATTTGTCTTGCTGGGCGGCAACATACAGTGGTAGGCTGCCTGAACTTTCCTTCCGAACATACACTCAGCTGATGACTTACCTTCTGGCACTACCGGAGTGGGGGTAACTCTGTAAGACATCAATAATTTGCTGAACACTTGTTCCGGCATACATTCTCTTCCTCCTTTAACCAGAGCCATTCGACTGAGGATGGTGCGGTGGAGTGTGTAGATGCGATATGCCATTTTCACCACAAAACCGGCTAAAAGCAGATAGCGTAAACTGAATGATATTTTCAGTCACCAATATCTCTGGAACCCTGAATCAAGCAAACAATCCTGACAACCTTTTTATTGTACACTCTGACGTTGCGTTCGGCATGTCATATACTTCCGGCCATTTTGTGAAGGCATCTACAACAACCAAGTAATTTCTACCTTGTATTGGACGGAATCAGCGCCTATTCTTTGCCAGTATCCGTCCACTTTTGGCCATGGTTGTGGTTCTGCTTTAGTGGGATTCCTCGCCGCCTTTAGATAGGACAACGACTGCACCACTTTTTGTTCTATATCATGATCCATTGACGGCCAATATGTGCAGTGACTTCGTTTAACTTATCATTGAGCGCCCGCTGTGGAACTGCTCGAGGAATCGGTGTCGAAGATCTCTGGGGACAACGATACGGTAACCAAACATAATGCACGAATCGCCAATTGTCGAGGAATCCCGTCGACGAAAATATTTTAGGATCTCCCTTTGTTGTCTAGATGGAGGCCACTTGTTGAGTATACAATGGCAAACAATCTAGCTTTTTTAATGGCTTCAAATGTGACCAGCAGTCCGGAGACTGCGTATACCAACACTGTGTGAACCTAAGCCTCTCATCTACGGCAGCTACAGGCATCACTTCTTGTTTTGTATGTGGACCAGTTAATCTTAAGAGGGCATCTGCCTATCTAAAATCTGTTCTCGGTCGATACTTTATCAGTAAACCACAGCCCAAAAGTGTAGTTGTCCATCTCTGTAGACGGTTTGCTGTATATACAGGGATACCCTTCTTGGGTCCAAAAACTGTCAGTACCGGATTATGGTCTGTTATTCAGGTAAACAGTTTGCCGAATACCATCTTCAGGAATCTTTTTGCAGCAAATATAACGGAGAGGGCTTCTTTCCCTGTATGACTGTAGTTCGTTCCTGTCGTAGTCGGCGATCGTGCAGCGTGAGCAAATGCTTTTTCAGATCCTTCAGGGTAGATATGTGAAATCACTGCTCCGATTCCGTAACTTGACACATCTATTGCGGCCACAACTGGAAGACCTGAAAGGTTTGATGATAGCAGCTGTTTTAGTTTTAGGAATGCTTTTTGGCATTCTGTTGACCAGATCCACTGGCAAAATAATGGAATAGAAAATATGGATCTACCTTATACTCACTAAGATAATCTTGGGCTCGATTTGAATTTTCTGCCTGTGTAAACGTCATATCTGGGCAAACTGGTTCTCTGACTACTTCGAGTAAACTTTCTATTTCATCTGATTCATCATACCGCTAACTGGAGATTCTATTTGACATACATTGGTTTTGAGAATATGCAACATCTGACACAATAACATCAAAAATGTGACTAGAATTCAACACATTTAGAACATATTTGTCACATTCATTAGGGATCACACTAGAGATAAATCCATTGTGGGATCAAATAACATATAATGCGATTCCATAATGGTTGTAACCAGATTTCAACTTATTTAGAACTAGTTCCTCAAATTTAACCAAGATTTCATTATAAATAAATGAATCATTAGAACAAACCGCATCTGATACAATCACATCAGAATTCTGATCAGGATTTGGTACCCTCTATATATCTTCCACATAACTGCAAATAATTACATTAGAAATACTTGAACCATAAAAACGACGCATTTCTGGTAAAAAAATATCATGAATCTGATCAGAGTATTATTCATTTGAAACAGTCAACTTAATGAGATCAAAATTACAAAGTTTAGCATTAACTGCAGCGAAATGAATAGTTGTTTTACAAATTGTCTGTGTATCCAATTTTACCACGTTTAAAGCATTTAGCATCACGAAATTATGATAATTAGGAAAATTTGAATTATAGTATGAACTAAGAATCCCAAAAATAGCGCAACTGGATCAAAAAGTACTAAATAAGCACGAACAATGTACTGTATTTGGAATTCGAAATCAAGCGTTTGTAGTGACTCACATTTATCACGAG